GGGAGAACGCAGAAGTCTGCTGGTTCAGAGAGGGACAGGAGATCAGAAAGACCAAGAAGTACGACACCATTGTTGAGGGGCGCAAGAGGAAGCTGGTCATCCATGACTGTGCTCCAGATGATGCCAAGCTCTACACATGTGACGCCAAAGAGTTTAAGACCTCCTGCTACCTGGAAGTCACACGTAAGGCTGCTTTCAACGTGACCCTTAACTCTGCGTCATGTTACTAAATGTCTGACCCAGATGTTCTTCATATCAACGCCTGCTTGCTGTGTCCACAGCTCCCTACGTTGAGTTCTCCAAGCCCCTGCAGGACGTGGAGGTCAGAGAGAAAGAATCTGCCAAGTTTGAATGTGAAGTGTCCCGCGAGTCTGCCAAGGTGAGCTCAGAGGCCCAAAGGCTCTCAGACGGCATCCGGCTGCCCCACAACACTCACCATCCCTCCTCTCTTTAAGGTTCGCTGGTTCAAGGACGGCAGTGAGATCAGGAAAAGCAAGAAGTACGAGATCACTGCTAAGGGAGTCCAAAGGACCCTCATCGTCCACAAGTCGGTGTTTGATGATGAGGCCGAGTACGAGTGTGACGCCAGGACCTCCAAGACCTCTGGCATGCTGACCGTCATCGGTGAGTAGCACGTCCTGTTTTCTGGCTGTGTAAAATCTGGAAAAGCAGAAATAGCTTTTAGGACCCAAACTGGACAGAAATCAAGTTGCTTTCAGCACTGAACGTACTGTCATCTGCTTCTCCAGAGGAGGCAGCCAGGTTCACCAAGAACCTATCCAACGTGGAGGGCATGGAGACTGACAGCGTGAAGATGATCTGCGAGGTTTCCAGGGTCAGCGCTGAGGTCACCTGGTACAAAGGGGACGAGGAGCTGCCCGAGGGCGGCCGCTACGACCAGATCGTGGACGGACGCAAAAGGATCCTGGTCATCCAGGACCTGCGGATGGAGGACGGCGGGGAGTACAACTGCAGGCTGAGCCCCAGTGTCAGGACGTCTGCCACTCTGAAGCTCAACGGTCAGCGGTGGCACACAGATCCACCATCAGTCTCCTCTGTGTGGGCTTCTTCCAACCAGCCTCCTCTCTCTTTTTCACAGAGCTGGCAGCTGAGTTCATCGCCCGTCCCCAGAACCAGGAGGTGGTGGAGGGCGAGAAGGCCGAGTTTGCCTGCTCAGTCTCCAAAGACACCTACGAGGTGAGATGGTTCAGAGGTGACAAGGAAATCCAACAAGGAGACAAGTACACAATCATCAGTGAAGGAAAGAGGAGGGCACTCATAGTGAAGAGCTGTGACCTGAAGGATGAGGGCGGCTACGTTGCTCACATTGGGAACGTTAAAGCCTCGGCTGAGCTGTGTGTGATAGGTGAGTGTCTGTGATCCCCAACAGCTGTCGGTAATCCCACACAAAGCCCTGCCTTAACCTCAGCCCTCTATTACAGAGAAACTGAGGATAATCACACCCATTAGAGATACGGAGGTGAAGGAAGGAAGTGAGATCGTGTTCAACTGTGAGACCAACACAGAGGGAGCCAAAGCCAAGTGGCTGAAGAACGAGGAGACCATTTTCGAGAGCAGCAAGTACATGATGGCCCAGAGAGACAATGTCTTCTCCCTGAGGATCAAGGATGCCCAAAAGGCCGACGAGGCCAGCTACACTGTCAATCTGACCAACCAACGAGGAGAAAATGCCAAGTGCACGGCCAGCGCCAGAGTCACAGGTAACTGCCTTAACGACAGAGTTTTGACCCTCCTGCTGCCCGGTTTCTCTGACCTTTCCCCACTACCCCACAGCGGAGAAGCTGAAGTTCCTGGAGCCCATAGAGGATATTGAGACTCAGGAGAAGAAGACCATCAGCTTCGTTTGTAAGGTGAACCGGACAGACGTGAGCGTGAAGTGGATGAAGGCCGGCCAGGAGGTGCCGCTCAGCAAGCGCATCGTCTACCGAGCCGACGGCCTCAAGCACACTCTGACGGTTAAGGACTGCTCCATGTCCGACGAGGGCGAGTACACCGCCGTGCTGGGAGACGACAAGTGTGTGGCCGAGCTGATCATCAGCGAGGCGCCCACCGACTTCACAGCACAGCTCAAGGACCAAACCATCACCGAGTTCGAGGACGCAGAGTTCACCTGCAAGCTGAGCAAAGAGAAGGCCGCCGTCAAGTGGTACCGAAACGGACGAGAGATCAGAGAAGGCCCCAGGTACCCACATCTGGAACCAGAACTGCAGCACTGAGAACCGTGGTGAGGTGTTTGTGGTGTTATTGATACTGCTTCTGTTTGCAGATATCACATGGAGAAAGAAGGCAAAACCTGCAGGCTGATCATCAAGGTGTGCAGGCCAGATGACGAGTCTGAATACGCCTGTGGTGTGGACGAGAGGAGGACCCGAGCCAGGCTCTTTGTTGAAGGTCAGCTCCTCAGTTCCCCACTCACTCAAAGGCTGAAGGGTTTCTGTGCATCTGGATGCTAAATGTGTCCCTCTACCCTGCAGAGACCCCGGTGGAGATCGTCCGGCCGCCACAGGACGTGTTTGAGCCTCCAGCCTCAGATGTTGTGTTTGAGGTGGAGCTCAACAAGGACCGGGTGGAGGTGAAGTGGATGAGGAACAACATGATCATCGTCCAGGGAGACAAGTACCAGATGATGAGCGAGGGCAAAGTGCACAGGCTGCAGGTGTGTGAGATCAGGCCCAGAGACCAGGGGGAGTACAGGATCGTGGCCAAAGACAAAGACGCCAAGGCCAAGCTGGAGCTGGCAGGTAAGTCCATTCTGTGGTTAACAAACACCTCAGAGTCAGAGGCCTCATGGAAAAGTGAGATGACCATCCTCTGCTTTGTTCTGCAGCCATCCCAAAGATCAAGACCACTGACCAGAAGCTGGTGACGGATGCGGGCAAGCCCTTCGTCATGAGCGTGCCCTACGACGCCTACCCCCGCGCCAACGCCGAGTGGTCCTTCGAGGGCAGCAATCTGCCCGTTCAGAACATCGACACCTCTATGGACAAGACCGAGTACCGCCTGAAAAGCCCCAGCAAGCAGGACCAGGGCCGCTACAGAGTGGCCATCAAGAACAAGCACGGCGAGGGGGAGGCCTTCATCCACCTGGATGTCATCGGTGAGTCTGTGGGCTGAATGAAAGACTCCCTGTGGCTGTCTGGCAGGATAAAGGGGAGTGCTCAGTGACATGTTTATGGGTTTCAGACGTCCCTGGACCAATCAAAAACCTGAGGGTGGTGGACACTGCTGATGGCGAGGTCAGCTTGGCCTGGGATGAGCCTGAGAGCGACGGCGGCAGCAAGATCATCGCCTACGTTGTCGAGAGGCGCGATGTGAAGAGGAAGACCTGGACTCTGGCAACAGATCGGGCCGATATCCCAGAGTACTGCGTCAGCGGGCTCCACAGGGACTCCATGTACCTGTTCAGAGTCTGTGCCCGGAACCGAGTGGGCAGCGGCCCGGCCGTTGCCACTGAGGATGCCGTCCAGGCCAAAAACAAGTTTGGTAGGTAACACTTAGAGGTGTCCAGTTTAAGCAGATCCAGCTCGCTGTGGCCCAAATCAACCTGATGGTTTTTCTTCCAGATGTTCCAGATGCTCCAGAAAATGTTGCAGTTGGCATTGTGAACAGGTTTGGGGCCACTGTGACCTGGGAGCCTCCCAAGTCCGATGGCGGCTCTGAGATCACGGCGTATGTGATCGAGCTGCGCGACAGGACGTCTGTGAAGTGGGAAGCGGCCATGGTGTGCGGCGCCAGCGACCGCTCCGCCACGCTCAACGATGTTGTGGAGCACAAAGAGTACATCTTCAGGGTCCGAGCTGAGAACAAGGCTGGCATTGGCCGGCCCAGTGCTGCCACCAATCCCGTCAAAATCATGGATCCCATCGGTGAGTGAAAACCCGCGGTTCCCGGGGTGGTGCTCTACTTCCTGTCAATGCTGTGGGGAAGTCATCTTTCTTCCTGTTTCCTGCAGAGAGGCCGAGTCCGCCCCAGAACCTGAACTTCAGTGACAAGATCAAAACGGCCATCACGCTGACCTGGGAGACGCCCGTGAGCAACGGTGGCAGCATGATTACCGGATATGTCATCGAGAAATGTGACGAGGGAACCGACAAGTGGCTGCGCTGCAACGCCCGACTGTGTCCCGACCTCGTCTACCGGGTACTAAGCACCGCAACCACCTTAGCCATGAACTAAAGCTCGTGGTTTGTCTCTCAGCTCCTCCAGAGCTGGCTCTTGATCACTGATGGTATGCATTACTTCCTCAGGTGTCTGGACTGAAGCCGGGTCAGAAGTACCTGTACAGAGTTTGTGCAGAGAATGCTGCAGGTCTCTCAGATCCAACTGAAAAGCTGGGACCGCTGCTCGCTGACGACCCTCACGGTATGAGACAGAGAGCAAAACAAACGAGTTATTGACAGTAGATTTTAGACTTAGACTTAGACTTAGACTAGACTTAGACTTGTACTTTACTGATCCCTTGGGAAGACTCCCCTAGGAAATTAAAGAGTCGGTGAAAAATGATTCAGAAGCCAATAACAGGGAACACATTTCTCTCCCTGCAGTGGGTCCAACCCTCGACCTGAGCGGCTTCAGGAACGGCCTGGAAGTAATTGCCCCTCAGCCCCTCACCATCAGAGTCCCCCTCACCGGGTACCCAACGCCTGTTGCCAAGTGGACGTTCGGGGAGAAAGAGCTGAGCACCTCGGATGAGCGCGTTTCCATGGTGACAAAGCCCACATTCACAGAGCTGACCGTCACGCCGAGCGTCCGCCCAGACAAAGGCACCTACACCCTGCAGCTCGAGAACGACGTGTCCTCGATCTCTGGAGAGATCGAAGTCAACGTCATCGGTAAGAATTTTTCCTTTGTCCTGTTGCTTCGGGATCACAGTAAACAACCATGTTTTGACATCTTCATCTTATTTTACCAGCATGCCCCAGTGCCCCGAAGGACTTCAAGGTGGCTGAAGTGACCCGCCATCACGTCCATCTGATGTGGGAGCCCCCGGAGCACGATGGAGGCAGTCCGGTCACCCACTACCAGATAGAGAAGAGAGAAGTGTCCCGTAAGACCTGGGCCAAGGTAGGGCCAGCCAGACTGAAGCCTGCAGAGGTGCTGTGGTGCATTTGGTTCGGCTATCCGGCTGACAACTCACCCCTGTCTGTCCTTTTCCCAGGTGGCCACTGGCGTCATGGACCTGGAGCACACAGTCACAGATGTGATTGAGGGAAAAGAGTATCTGTTCAGCGTCATCGCCTGCAACAAGTGTGGACCGGGGGAGCCGGCTTACATCGATGAGCCTGTGAACGTCTCCTCTCCTGCCAGTGAGTCTTCAGTGTGGTATCAGCTCACAGGGTAAGCAACTTCTGGTTAAAACCAAACTCTGATCGCTCTTCTGCAGCTATACCTGATCCTCCTGAGAACCTCAAGTGGCGCGATAAGGGTGCCAAAAGCATCTTCCTCTCCTGGGAGCCTCCCAAGTACGATGGTGGAGCAAACATCAAAGGCTACGTCGTGGACAAATGCCAGCGTGGAACAGACAAGTGGGAGCCCTGCGGGGACCCCATCCCCGAGCTCAAGTAAGACTTCGCTTTTGGTTCTGTCAGTTTCTCTGATGTCAACATTTGGGGCGGCTGGATGGAAAATCTGTCTCCTGTCCACAGGTTCCAGGTGACTGGCCTGATCGAGGGCCAGTGGTATGCCTACAGAGTCCGAGCATTAAACAAGTTGGGGGCCAGCAGACCCTGTAGGGCCACCGATGAGATCCAGGCTGTGGATTCTCGAGGTATGCCAGTCAGTCAGTCAGATGTTCGAAGTGGTGGATGATATCTACTGAGGTTGTTCGTAAAGTCCAGTCATTCTTCATTTCAGCTGTGTTCATGAGTACACAGAAGTTTTTGACTAATCATTATAATGGGGAAAGTTCAATTCAATTCAATTCAATTTTATTTATATAGCGCCACATCACAACAACAGTTGTCTCACAGCGCTTTCCAAACAGAGCAGGTCAGACCCTGCTCTTAAGTTAACTACAGAAACCCAACAATTCCCACCGTGAGCAAGCACTAGGCGACACAGGCAAGGAAAAAAGTTCCATTAAGCAAGGAGATAGATAGATAGATAGATAGATAGATAGATAGATAGATAGATAGATAGATAGATAGATAGATAGATAGATAGATAGATAGATAGTGCTAGTAATAAGTGTAATTTTTTTTATTTTAAAAAATACCAACAGAACCCCCAGAGATCCAACTGGACGTGAAACTGCTAGCCGGCCTGACTGCCAGAGCTGGTACCAAGATCGAGCTCCCCGCAGACGTGAAAGGAAAGCCAGATCCCCGTATAAAGTGGACCAAGGCAGACCTCGTCCTGCGGGCCGAAGATCGCATTGCCATCGAAACCCAGCCAGGACACTCCAAGCTCTCCATCAGCAAAACCACCAGAGGAGACACCGCTACCTACATCATTGAGGCCGTCAACATCTGCGGACGCGCCACTGCCACCATCGACGTCAACATCCTCGGTACGGAGGCCGGCTACTGCCAGGAAATCTGTAGATTTCATTAGACTGTGTTGCTCTAGAAACCTCACCAGGCTGCGTCTTTTCCCCTCAGATAAACCCGGCCCTCCAGCTGCCTTCGACATCTCTGAGATCACCAACGAGTCCTGTGCCCTGGCCTGGAACCCTCCCAGAGACGATGGGGGTTCGCCCATTACCAACTACATTGTGGAGTGTCGTCAAATGGACAAAGAGGAGTGGGTGAAGCTGTCAGCCACAGTGAAACACACCACCTTCAAAGCCTGCAAGCTCACAGCTCTGAAGGAGTACGTCTTCAGGATCAGTGCTGAGAACCAATATGGCATCGGCACTCCTGCAGAGCACGCACCCATCATTGCAAAGTACTCCTTTGGTACGTTGTTACATGCTCCGGCCCATCAATCAGAACGGAACCACAACAGTGGAACAGGAACCCATTTCTTATCCTGTTATTTTCCACCAATTTAGATCCTCCTGGTGCTCCGACCAGAGTAACTCCATCTGACATCGCCAAGGACGCCGTGACGCTGACCTGGTTCGAGCCAGACGAGGACGGCGGCAGTCCCATCACAGGATACTGGATCGAGAAGTTTGATCCAGAGAGTGACAAGTGGATTAGATGCAACAAATTGCCTATCAAGGACACAACCTTTAGGTACAAATGTCTTTTATGTATTTATTTTTATTTATTTTTTATTTAGTGACCTGAAAAGCTGAAAAGACAAACTGCTCAGCAGGCCGTCTGACTGTGTCTCTGTATGCAGGGTAAAGGGGCTTCCCTCCAAGAAGAAGTACCGCTTCCGTGTTCTGGCAGAGAATCTGGCCGGACCTGGAAAGCCAAGTGCGGAGACAGATCCCGTCCTCATCAAAGATCCCATTGGTATGCCAAACCAGGTTAATTTCGAAATGTGTGCTGACCGTGGAGACAATTCTAACAACACAAAACCTCTTGTCAGATCCACCCTGGGCTCCTGGTAAACCTGTCGTCAGGGAAGTTGCCAAGACTACAGCCTTGTTGGCATGGACCCGCCCCGAGCATGATGGAGGGGCTAAGATCGAAGGCTACATCATCGAGTTCCAGAAGACCGGAAGCGAGGAATGGATCCGGATTGCGGAGGACATTCCTCAGACTGAGCATCAGCTGAAGGGACTGATGGAGAAGCAGGAATACTCTTTCAGGGTCAAAGCCGTAAATAAGGCTGGAGAGAGTGAGCCCAGTGAGCCCAGTGACCCGGTCGTCTGCAAGGAGAGACTCTGTGAGTTCAGCCGGGTTTGGGAACAGAAGGGAATCGTTTCCAAAAGAATTAGCGACTAACTGAAAATCCCTGCTTCCATGTTCCAGACCCTCCATCCGCTCCTCAGTGGCTGGAGGTGACCAACATCACCAAAATCAACGCTGACCTGAAGTGGCAGGCTCCCAGCACTGACGGCGGCTCCCCCATCACCAACTACGTGGTGGAGAAGAGGGACGTGAGGCGGAAGGCCTGGCAGACCATCGACACCACCGTCAAGGAGCTGAAGTACTGTGTGACTCCTCTCAACGAGGGATCTCTGTACGTGTTCCGTGTAGCTGCGGAGAACGCGGTTGGGATGGGGGAGTTCTGTGAGCTGGAGGACGCTGTGCTCGCTAAGGACACCTTCAGTAAGTACTTAGACTTAGACTTAGACTTAGACAGAACTTTATTGATCCCTTGGGAAGACTCCCTCAGGAAATTAAGGTTACCAGAAGATACTGGAGAGGCAGCCGTCTCCACAGTGCCAGAATAAATATTTCTTCAGAACAAAAAGAATACAGAATACATTGGGAAAGCGGTTGCAGGAAGAGGGAGAAAAAGGCCCAGTGCCCCCCCCCCCTACAGGGGACGTAACAGTGATATAAAAAACACCTCAGTACACTAAAGCACAGATACAGTCAAATCACAACATCAAGGACTCTTAGGGAGGGGGGAGGGATGGGGCATTGGAAGGAAGGGGAAAGGTAACAGCGAGGCAGTGAGTCCAAGGAATGCATGAAGTCTGTAGTTGTGTGTGTGTGAGTGTAAGCAAGCTGGAGTCCACATCCACAGGCTAGATGGAATTTGTCCTTGTGATGCCCATACTCCTGCTTGTGAAGAGGGAGGGGGGTGGGGGGGGGTAAAGCGTCCCACTGCAGTTTCATCCAGGGCAAAGTTGTAGAGTAGCAGCTGCAAGGCCGCTCTCGGGAGGCCAGAATGAGATAAGAGAGATAGCTTCGGGGTACCATAGCCCCCTTCATCCTCCCATATGGTGTGGCCCCTCAAATAAAGGAGACTTTAGGAGAAGAACTATATGAATAAGATATTCATTTTTTTGCATTCCTTTTCAGCAACTCCTGGACCGCCTTATGCCCTGACTGTGATGGAGGTCACCAAGAGACATGTGGAGCTGAAGTGGGAACCTCCCAAGAGCAACGGAGGCAGACCCATAACGAAGTAAGACTTTATGAAACAGATCACGGAGCGAAAGGTGGAAGCAGAGACGCGGGCATGAGGGGGGAGACCATCCTTTGGTTTGTCTTTGACATGATTGAAACAAATTAATTTTCATTCCCAGATATGTGATTGAGAAGAAAGAAAAGGTTGGAACTCGTTGGCTGAAATGCTGCAAGACACCTGACAGACAAACTCAGTTCAAAGTGACGGATGTGGATGAGGGGTCAGAGGTACAGTTTCAGGTCAGAGCTGAGAACGAAGCCGGAGTCGGAGATCCAAGTGAACCAACTGTGATTCTCACCATCGAGGACGCAACCAGTAAGAACCAGAGTTTAGGCTTCCTATCACCTGAGTGCACAGGGACTTGAATGTATAAGCTTTCATTAAGTTTTTCCAGGTGAATACAAGATGTGTCTCCTTTCAGGCCCTCCATCTCCTCCTGTGGAGCTGACTATCGTGGATGCCAGCAGGGAGCACATTAATGTCACCTGGAAGCCTCCGGTCAAGGATGGTGGCTCCCCTGTGACAGGATACCATGTAGAGGTGGCAGAGGCCCGTACCGAGCTGAAATGGCTCCGGGTCAACAACAGGCCCATAAAGGAGCTGAAGTTCAGGATAGATGATGGCATCAAATCTGAGAAGAAGTATGTCATCAGAGTCCGTGCAATCAACTCTATCGGCGTGAGCGATCCCTCGGAGATCTCTGACAAAGTCTTCACCAAGGATCCTGACTGTAAGCTGGAAAGATTTGATCCAATGATATGAATCATGTGCAGTAACAATGAGCTGAACTGATCCTGTCTTCTGGCCTGAAGGTGCTCCAACCATTAACCTGGAGGCGCAGGACATGGTAGTGGTTGAGGGAGAGAAGTTGCAGCTGAACGTCCCCTACAGAGGAATTCCAACGCCTAAGATGGTCTGGCAGAAGGACACAGTGGAGTGTAAGGCTGACGACAGGCTCTCTATGACGGTGGAGATGAACAGCGCCCACCTGGATCTGCTGAAGTGCAAACGTGCAGATGCCGGCGCCTACACCATCACCCTGGAGAACAGTCTGGGAACTGCCACTGGGACCATTAACGTCAAAGTTATCGGTAGGATGAAAACACAACGCAGTGTTTAGTAACAGCACAGTGCTTTATCTACCAGCTTTTAAACATGTTTTTGGTGTCCTCCCGCCCCTCTCAGGTCTCCCTGGTCAGTGTAAAGACATAACTTCCAGTGATGTCACCAAGAACTCCTGCAAGATTAGCTGGGAGGCCCCAGAGGACGATGGCTGCACTCCTATAGACAGCTACACTCTGGAGCGCCGAGAGGCGTCCAAGAAGACCTACGTGCCTGTTATGTCAGGAGAGAATGTCCTGACCTCCATCGTCAAAGACCTTTACATCAACTGTGAGTACTACTTCAGGGTGAAGGCCGTCAACAAGGTCGGAGCCGGAGAATACCTGGAGCTGCGTAATCCAGTTATGACAGAGGAAGTAAAACGTAAGTTGGGTCTTCATCGGAACCGGATCTGGCAGATACGATGATTGTTATCAAAACTCATTGCAATTTACTCTGACTGCACAGAGAAACCAGACCCGCCCCTCCAGGTGGAGGCTCAGGATCCAACATGCAAGTCCATCACAGTCACCTGGAAGGCTCCAGACTACGATGGAGGCTGTCCCATCCAGGGCTACATCCTGGAGAAGATCGAGAAGGACGGTGACCGCTATGAGAGGGTCACACCCAGCCTGGTCCCGGGCTTCTCTTACGTGGTTACAGGCTTGAAGGAAGACGTGGAGTACCAGTTCAGAGTGCGAGCTGAGAACGCCGCTGGTGTCAGCGAACCGTCTCGCAGCACGCCACTCATGAAGGCTGCAGACCCTGTTGGTATGTCCATGTGAAATGGCTCTGAAATCAACTGATTTCCCAGATAAACATGTTCAGGTCAAGGCCTTAATGTCTCTGCTTTTACTTTCAGACAAACCAAAGGTCACCCTGCATGCCCGTGTGCAGTCTGGTGTTTCCGTTAAGAAAGGCGAGGAGATCCGCATTGATGCCTTCATCTCAGGCTCTCCTTACCCCAAAGTCACCTGGATGAGGAACGAGGAGGACGTTACCAAAGAGCCCACCAAGAAGATTGTTCCTGTCGTCAAGAAGAAGAAGACCAAGTCCAAGGTTTGTGTTCTCACGGGACATCAGGGAGCCCTGAGTGTTCCCCCTTCGAGTGAGTTTTCTCTGAGTGAGGTGTTTCCTGTCCTGCAGCTTCCAGAACCAGAGGAGGAGTTTGTGACTCCGATGCGTGAGCGTCTTGGTCTGGATCAGACCAAGAAGGGCCAGTCAGCGCTGATGATCCGTGACTCTGTCAGAACAGACCACGGCGACTTCACCATCAAGGTGGAGAACACCCACGGCTTTGCAACTGCCACCTGCTTCGTGAACGTCCTGGGTAAGAACAGAGCCTCTCCTCCACCTATAAACCGCATTGTTTCTCTTTCATTAGTAAAAGTTATTTTTCTATAATCCTACTTCAGACAAACCTGGCGCCCCCATCAACTTCACCTTTGATGAGATCAGGAACACCTCTGTTATCTGCAACTGGGAGCCTCCCGAGGACGATGGTGGCAGCGAGATCCTGAACTACATCCTGGAAAAGAAAGACAACAGGAATGATGAGATTGGCTGGATCACTATCACTTCCACCCTGAAGGGCAACAGCTTCCCCGTCACCAAGCTGATCGAAGGGAAGGAATACATCTTCAGAGTCACTGCAGAGAACAAGTATGGCTGCGGCCCTCCCTGCGTCTCCGATCCTCTCGTGGCCAAGAACCAATTCAGTGAGTGTTTCAGAGTTTAGCCAGACATTAGCACCCTCTGATGAACCCTCATCACTGAACCTCCCCTTCTGTCCCTCCCTCAGATCCTCCCGATGCACCAAATACCCCCAGAGTCCACGAGGTGACGGCAAGCTCCGCCCACATCTCCTGGCATGAGCCGAAGGACAACGGTAGCCCGATCCTGGGATACTGGATTGAGAGGAAGGAGGTGAACAGTAAACACTGGACCCGGGTCAACCGAGCCCTGCTCAACTCTCTGGATGTGAAGGTCACCGGCCTGATGGAGGGCCTCACCTACATCTTCAGAGTGTGTGCTGAGAACCTGGCGGGCCCCGGGCCCTTCAGTGAGCCCACCGACCGCATCGTGGCCATGGACGCCATCCGTAAGTTTCCACCAGCTTAACGCTGATAAACGCTGTCCACACCTGATACAAACCGGTATTCAGGACTTCCCCCTTGCCAGTAAATGTGGAGATTTTTTTTGTGTGTGATGAATGGAGCCTGTAACTTAGCACAGAGAGGGTGATACTTTTTACCCTCTCCAGAGAGAGTTCAGTTCTCAGTTAGATTTTCTTCGGACAGAGAATTGATTTGTTGAAAACTCAGACACTGAATCTATCTCTTCCTACAGTTCCCCCAGGGCCACCCAGTCCATGGGTCGTGGACACAGGCAACGATTTTGTCATCTTGGCCTGGAAGCCCCCCCTGTATAATGGTGGAGGAGACATTCTGGGGTATCATGTTGAGAAGGTAAGGACATGAGCCCACCGACAGCTTCAGGCTTTTTTCAGCAAGCTGAGGAGGATCTTAAACTGAGGCTGTGCTCACAGGTTTTGACTGGAGAGAAGGAGTGGAAGCGCTGCACTGAGTTCAGGTGCAAAGAGCTGACCTACACGGCGACCGGCCTCACTGAGGGAGCAGACTACTACTTCAGAATTGTTGCCGTCAACGATGCCGGCCCTGGAGCGCCTGGTGTTACTGAGCCTGTCACAGTCAAAGAGCCTCAGGGTATGCAGTTTTCTGAGGAGTATCCAGACGGTCTCACCTAAATTTTTTAGTTTTCAGCTTTTTATTTTTTACCTTCTTGGCCTTAAGTTCAGCTCTGCAGCTGCTTTTGCCAGTTCTCACCCGCCGTCTGTGTCCTTCAGAATCTCCTGTCGTGGATTTCGATAACTCCGTGAAGAACGGTGTGATGATCAAAGCCGGCGATTTCCTGAAGCTTCCTGCCGTGGTGACGGGCCGGCCCCAACCAGAGGTCAAATGGGCCAAAGATGATGCCGAAATCGACAAGGAGAGGATGATCGTTGAGACCGAGGGCAAGAACAGCAGCCTGATTATCAAGAAAGCCGTGAGGGCGGATCATGGAAAATACCAGATCACAGGAACCAACAGCAGCGGGACCAAGACCGCAGAGACCAGAGTGGATGTCATGGGTCAGTGTTTCGTAACAGAGAGAGAGAGAGCCTGCACAGAAACCGCTCTCTGGTTCTGGTTCTGTGTATGGACTCCGATTCTGTGGTGTTCTGCAGTGCTCACTGAACTCAGAATACTTTGATTTGCTTCTTCAATTGATGTAAATTAAATACATGTCCCCATGTCTCTGTAGATGTTCCCGGTCCAGTGGTAGACCTGAAAACTGTCCAGGTGACCAAGAAGAACATCGTCCTCACCTGGTCGGACCCCCTGGATAACGGGGGCAGTGACATCATCGGTTATGAGGTTCTGAGGAAGGACGCCAAGATGAAGCTTTTCCGTCAGCCCATAGAGACAGCATCCTGCAAGTGTGACATCCAAGGCCTGCTGGCCAGCGAGGAGTACGACTTCAGGGTCATCGCCAGGAACAAGTATGGTGATGGAGCACCAGCAGACCTGGGACCCATCCTGGCCGAGGATCCCAAAGGTAAGCACACTGGAAGGGAACCTATCAGAATCTGAATCAGAATTAGGTTTATTGCCAATTAAGTTTTCACATACAAGGAATTTGCTTTGGTGAAAACACCGAGGCAGCCATTTTCGGCGCCAAGGCAAATCTTCAGAACCAAAAGAATACATTGAGAAAGCAGTTGCGGGAAGAGGGAAAAAAAAAAAACTATCACCTAAGGAGTTGGAGCTGACCCTGTATTTTATGTTGCAGGGACTCCATCTGCTCCTGAGAAGCTGCACTACACTGACAGAAGCAAGAGCACCATCACGCTGGCCTGGCAGCCTCCGCGGACCGACGGCGGCAGCCCCATCAGAGGCTACTACGTGGAGAAAATGAGGTCCGATGGCACAGAGTTTGAAGTGGCAAACCGCAAGATCTTTACAGAGTGCTGTGGAACTATTGAGAACCTCTCCGAGAACCAGGAGTACCAGTTCCGTGTCAAAGCTGTAAATGAGGTTGGAGATGGAGATCCCTCCAAACCCATCAATGCTAAGATCCAGGATGATGAGAGTAAGTTTGAATGTGAATGCAGAAAAGACACAGATGGTTTTTAGGATGACAGAGTTTGATAAAACTCTCTTGGTTCCAGTCGCTCCAGTTATCAGCATCCTGAAGTTCTTCAAGAGCAACGCTATCATTGTGAAGAAAGGAGCCGCCATCGACATCCCAGCGGAGGTGATCGGACTCCCTCTGCCAACACTGCAGTGGATGAAGGATGACGTGGTGATCGAGAAGCCTGATGTTGACAAGATGACCATGGAAACAGAGGAGGTCAGAGAGATGGCTTTTCCTCAGAATGGTTCAGTCCTCAGTCAGCAGACTAACAGCTATGCAATCCTCCCACAGGTCAACCGAACTACCATGAGGACAAAGATCGCTATCCCAGAAACCATCAGACAGGACAAAGGAAACTACAAGCTGTTTGCTGAAAACTGCTACGGCAAAGCTGAGCATGTCATTCGAGTGGATATCCTTGGTCAGAACCCTGAGCTGCATGTTCTGATTGAACTCTTCTTAAATTCCACTCTTTTCAAGAGTAGCATTGACAATAATCTGACCTTTTTTTCAGACCGTCCTCTCCCTCCCAGAAACATTGTGGTTTCAGACATCAAGGCAGAGTCCTGCTACCTGACCTGGGATGCCCCTGAAGACAATGGAGGCAGTGAGATCACCAACTACATTGTGGAGCGTAGAGACGCCAGCAAGAAGAAGTCAGACTTTGATGTTCTGACCATCAACCTCATTGACCGGAGATACGGGGTTAGATTACATTACACTCGTACAACACCACAGTCTGAACACAAACTATGAAAAAATGTGGACCCAAGCAGTACAAATGTCTTTCATTTTGTATGTCAGCACAGCCCTCTCATCTCCACAAAAGCTCTTGAAATATTGCATGAAATATTGTACCAACAGTAGCGGCACATATCTGTGAAGGTTCTCAGTCATCGAGGTAGTGGTCAAATTTGAAAAGTTCAGTTTAGGCAACTGGACGTGAAGTTTAGGGACACACTCTAGAAATAAAAGGCACTCCAGCCACAAAAATATTGAGTCAGAGTGACTTTTATGCCAAACTAAATAAAAATTAATCAACCTGTATTGGTCCCTCAGGTCTACAAACTGAACCTGAACGGAGTCTACCAGTTCAGGATCAAAGCTGAAAACAAGTATGGCGTCAGCGATGGCTGTGACTCAGAGAAAGTCCAACTCAGAGATCCATTTGGCCTACCTGGACCTCCTCGCAACCCCAAGATCATATCTGCCACAGCCACCACCATGACCCTGACCTGGGACCCTCCTCTGGACAACGGGGGGTCAACCATTCAGGGCTACTGGCTGGAGAAGAGGGAGCGCGGGGCTGTGTACTGGGGGCGCGTCAACCGGGCACCAGTCACCAAGCCGGCAGTGAAGGGCCTGCAGTACACCGTGCTGCGGCTCATCGAGGGAACAGAGTACCAGTTCAGAGTGGCCGCCAGCAACGCCGCCGGGGTCGGGCCGCCCAGCGAGGCCACGGAGTGCCGCTTCGCTGTGGATCCTTGCAGTAAGTGGAACCCAGAACCTCCGACTGTCAACCTTCAACAGGGAAAAGCATGGAAAATCATGCTGAGCTTTGAGTCTTTTAACTCATTGACTGCCAGCCATTTTCAGAACAGAGAGTCGCTCACTGCCAGAGTTTTTTGAGCATTTTGACTGATTTTTAAAGAGCCACAGAATAGTTTGTGCTATGACTATGTAAACACCGAACACACCAAAAGAAAGAGTAGACTCTCTTCTTTCATCAGGAAAAAATTTTTGTTTCTACCTTATTCCGTTCTTCTTCGACGTGCGTCTCACCGGCGCCATTTCTCTCATAGCGAACCATTGCGTTTGTTTTTATTTGCCTACAGTCTATGCTCATCTCCCATCAAAAGTGGCACTGCCCCCTATAGGGTCAATTTGTTACTACATACTCTGTCTAGAAGCCGATATTTACGGAAAAACTTTCGCCGATCGTTCCCCAAGCCACTCGCATTGAAAAACATAAAAGACGTCTATAGACGACTTTGGCAGCGAATGAGTTAACCCTCTTTGCTCTTTTTCCTCAGATCCCCCAAGCGCACCAGGGAGCCCAGAGGTTAAAGACAAGACCAAGAGTAGCATCACGCTCTCCTGGACCCCTCCGGACAGAGATGGTGGCAGCCCCATCAAAGGGTACATCATCGAAGTTCACGAAGAGGGTTCTCCTGATTGGAGGAGAGTGAACCCCGCCGACAAGCTGCACCCATCCACTGAGATCACCGTACCAGACCTGAAGGAGGGCAAGAAGTGCAAGTTCAGGATCTATGCAGTGAACGCTGCAGGGAACTCGGAGCCGGCCCGCACCGCTGACATCGTGGTCCAGGATATCCTGAGTAAGAACGCCGGCAGACACAATAAGGCCGAGCGGAGTTCACAGCAGCTCCCTCTCAGTCACCAGCCTCATTCGTCTGTTTTTGTACTGGCATGTTATTCTGTGCACCAGTGTTTTTCAACCTTTTTTGAGCCAAGCTACATTTTTTCATTGAAAAAATGACGAGGCACACCACCAACCAAAAATGTTAAACAAATCTGTAGCCGTCTATAGTAACACTATAGTTATTCTTATTTTATTCTTGTCTTATCTTAAGTGTCTTGAATAGGAATCAAATAAACACAAAAATGTATTTTTATCATATTTTATATTTCTTCTTTCAAATTGCTCTTAACATGTCCACTTCAATATACAAAATTATATACAAAATCCAGTCATAAGGAATTATTACATGATTACTCCACCATTCACTAGAACAGCACAGACACCCAAAAATGGCATATTATTTGCAGATAATTAATTCCATATCAAAAAATCTTTTTAGACCAATTAGGTGAAATAAGATGATTTTCTACACCTGACCATCACTAACGGCACACTAGTGTACCGAGGCACAGGGGTTGAAAAACACTGCTGTACACTATTGACTACAGTCAGGCTTCTTTTGATGTCAGGCTGCCTGTTCTCATGAAACGTTGGAAGCTTAAGCTCATACGTGTGTCCTCCTTCCAGTCGAGCCCACGGTGTCTCTGGAGGTGAATGCTCACGATCTGCTGAACTGCAGAGCAGGAACCACCATCAAGATTCCTGCCACCATCACCGGACGGCCCATCCCCAAAGTCACCTGGACTTTTGTGGATGGAACCGCTGAGACTGAGAAAAAGAACGACCTTCACACGCTTCCGGTGGACTCAGAGGTCCGAGTTTATTTATTTATTTATTTATTTAATCAGGACAATGCTCATTAATAAACAATCTTACACTTCAGTAAAGACTGTAAATGAGCCAGATTCTAGCATAGTTGCTCATTTACATCTGTCGTCCTGACAGGAGTTGACCTGTGATAGATTTGGCTCATTGTTCTGTAGGACGGCCAGATAAAGCCTGATTCTGCCCACAGAGGCTGGACATCAGACTGCGCTCTGAAGTGTGTTGTGTCTGTTTCAGATCCACTCCACGGATACGACCTCGGTGGTGGTGATCCCGGATAGTAAACTGTGCCACAGCGGCCGATACATCATCAACGCTGAGAGCCCTGCAGGCCACAAGGTGGTCAAAGTCAGAGTCAGCGTTCTCGGTATGTGCTGCTTCACCTCTGACGCCGAGCTGGGATTCAGGCTAGTTCCTCAGCTCAAATGAGTCTCTGCTTTCTGTGTGGCCATCACAGACCTGCCTGGACCTCCCCGGGACCTGAAAGTGAGTGATGTGACCAGAGGAACCTGCAGACTCACCTGGAAACCTCCAGAGAGCGACGGAGGTGAGAGGGTGAAGAGCTACTTCATCGAGAAGAAGACGGTGGAGGGCAAAGCCTGGACGAAGGTACAGCACC